TGCGGCTGCGGAGAGCCCCGTAAATCTCCCTCAGCAAACAGAGGGTCGGGGAAGCCGTCACGAAACAGCTGCCACGGGTCGACACCGGCACGGGCTGCGGCCACGGCATGCCACGATGCTGACCCGGGGACGTGCCAGCGGCACGGTGCCACTGCCAGGCTGCAGCGCCCACGCCGGGGACACCGCTGCGCTCCTTCAACCCTGGCAAGTCGCTTCCCCCTCGGCCCGGTTCCTCTTTGACCGGGGAGCGGGATAACCCCGTGCAGGGCAGTTACGAAATGGCTCCTTTTTGGTGGGGGCAGCTGGAGGTGTGTCCCCCCGCTCCTCCCCAAAAAAAAAAACCCAAACCACAAACTCCAGGTGCCCCCGGGAACAGAGCCCAGAGGTGATGGGGATGTGCCGGGTGCTGGGAAAGCTCCGTTCCTCCCCACCATCCATCTGCACCCCCCAGGAAAGGAGGGAGAAACGACGATCCAGGGCTGAGATCCCCCCCCCGTGCCATCACAACATCAAGACCCCAGCACCCCCCCCCCCACCCCCCCACGACACGGGGAGAGCCGCAGGGACCCAGAAGAGTGTTTCTACCCCCAGTTCACGTGCTTTTGGCGGGGGGGGGGGGCACCCCCAACCAGGCCTCCCCAGCCCCATTTCTCTGCAGTGGCTGTTTCTTTCCCCGCAGGGCTGTGCTGCTCGGGCTCCACGGCCACCCCACCCTCAGCCCTGAAAATGTCCCCCCTGCTCCGATGATTCATCACTTTGTCGCTCACGCACGCAGGGCTCTTCCCTTTCCCCACAGCACCGAAAAACCAGCAAACGGGGAAACCTCGTCACGGCAAAAGGCCGGTGGGGCAGGGCAGGGGGGAACCAGGAACACACGTGCCGTAAACTCGGCGCCGTTGGAGCGTGGAAAAAGAAATAAAAGACCTGGCTGGAATCACAACCTCCATCCCCAAACACCCGGATGCTGGAGTTGTAGCCAGCCCCACCCCGGAGCGGTTTCCTACTGATAAGGGCAGGAGGCAAAGCCAGCATCCCTCGGGAGGCAAAGCCAGCATCCCTCGGAAAACACGGCCGGCTTTCCTCCCCAGCACGTGCCACTCGCCGTCGCCCACCGCGGCCATCGGCACCCACCCCTAGAGCCTAAATCTGGTCGTTTCTCAACTTCAGCAGCCCAATTCCCAAAGGTCCGTTGGTTCCAGCATGGTTATCCCTGCCGGATTCCCCAGCAGCAGGTAAGCGCAAGCTCAGCTGCCACCGGCACCCGCAGCAGGGAAAAACCAGCCCCGCTCCCTCCTCCGGACGCAGGAGCAGCCGTGCATGAAGCCAAGCAAACATGGCAGGGGAAACTAGAGGGAAGAGGGGGAAAAAAAAAAAAAAAAAAATCCCCCAAACTCCACACCTTCGCTGTCTGCTCCACACTCTGCTGTTATATAAAAAAATCACTAACTCCCCCCACGCCCCAAGGGCCGGGAACGCGCAGAAGCGCTGCGATTCCTGGAAACAGGCCCTGCTTGTCCCCGGACCTGCATGGGCTTATTTATTTATCTTAGAAGAGCACAACAATAACCACCATATTTTCTCTCTTTTTTTTTTTTTTTTTAAGGAAATTTCCCCATCATCTGACTCACTGAAGCTTTAGAGGACATGGGTACGAGGGCTGTCGTAATCCTTCCTGCTTCGCAATTAATTCATGAAGATAATTAATCGGTGGCCATAGGTTAAGCGCAGCCCCCTCCTACGCCCCTGCCAAACTCCTGCTGCCTCAGTGGAGCAAATTGCAGGCTGCGGGGGTGTGGGGGGGGTCATCTTTGGTGATCCCCTAAAAGCTGTATGCCATGGGACACCCCAACTCTTCCACTGCCTTTTGCAGACCCCCCAAAACAGCAGGGCTGGGGGGTAGCCAGCT